AGCGATAAAGGACGACAGAACGAACCACTGCGTAGTACGTTATTTTGTTTATTTATTTATTTAAACGCAGAAAAACTTGGTACAATATGGCGCCAAGAAGATGCGCCACTCAATAATAATAAAACAATACAGATTAAAAGTAAGAATATGGGTGGAGAACGGATAAAGAACTTCATCTGGAAGGAAAACAGCCATAATTAACAAGTTCAAACAGTATTCGTCGACTATCATCGAGAAGGGAAGAAAGAAGGAAATTGCAACACGTTCGCCATTGATTACGATTCTTGGCCATACCCGATAACGTTTTGAGCCATCGATTCCAGCTGTCTCTCGGACTCCAACTAGGGAGTCGCGGCGCACCAACTGATGCTGATCTAGCACAAATATCCTTCATCCCACGACGCCAAGTCATGGACTAACCACCCCTCCGCCTTTTCTATCCCGTCCCAGGGCTAGCCAGCAGAGACCTGCACGGAAGCCTCTGGGATGACATTCAGAGCACATGTCCAAGCCACCGAAGCCGGTGTTTCCAGATGACGACACTCAATGAATGATGATCTCCACTGTGTTCAGACACACGCCGCCGAACCTCAGAATTACTCACTCGATGATGTCATCGAACGCAAGCAATCCTGCGGAGACAGTGATGATCGAACACGCACAGCCGCCGCACATCCTCAGCTCGGAGAGGCCAGGTTTCACAGGCGTAAAGCAAAACAGCCGGCACAGAAGCATTGTATACCCAACCTTTGACAGCCAGGCTAACGTCGCGACGGCGCCAGAGGTGACTCAAGTTGATGTATGCCACCCTAGCCTTCATTATACGGTTGGAAATCTCATCCGTCACCCCTCCGCCAGCACTCACACAGCTACCCAGATACACAAACTTATCAACAACTTCAAGCGGTTCACCTGCAAGCAAGAGTGAGTGCAGGTACAGGCTCCTGCCAATCTTGTAACAGTACTTTGCACTTAGACGGCTCAAAGCACATACCATACTTACAGACACTGATCGCCAACTGATTAAGTGCGATTTGGGCAGCCTGCACGCTATTGCACAGTGAGACGATATCGTCTACATACTCGAGGTCGAAAAGTCTATCTCCAAGGAGCAGATCTACACCACCTTCATGGATTTCCTTCAGAGCTGACTCCAAAATGTCATCGATGGCAAAGTTAAAGAGAAATGGAGAGATTGGGCAACCCTGTCTAACCCCACTGTTGGTTGGGAACAGTGATGATAGTTGGTTGTATGCCCTCACTCTACCTGAGGTGTTTCTGTATAGGGCTTTCAAGATGTTAACGAACTTCTCAGATACACATGTCCTTCGTTCCGATAGCCAGATATCACACCAAAAATGACTTAATTTGGCGAATGTCACATGAGCATGAAATATCCATGCTGAGATTTCGTCAGTAATCAGTCCAATGAGGCCGATGCAACTTCTAAAATATGTGATGAAATAGTCAACACACTCAACCACTTCACTCCTTATCCGTAATCTAGCAGTCGGTACGATTCAGTCCCACATCATCATCTTCTATTTGACAGGAGCGAATCACATGCTAAATATTCCAAGATTTCTACACAATACGTTCATTTTATTAGCGTTCTCACGTACGAGGACACTATTCAACTATGGGCCATATATGCTGTCTTGAAAGACATTCGAAAAATCGCAAATAATCCAATCATCCAGCTCAGAGAACACAACTCCACCGATATCACTCACACCTGGGCTTCAAATCTTCTCGAAATAAGTGAGATCACGCAATAAACCGTGAAACGGCAAAAGTCAGAATTCATGGGTCCTTTGAATTGTTCCCCACTGACTGGACGGTTAACGAGCTTGCCTCAGAAACGCAATGTCCTTTTTAAAATCCTTCTTGAGGCCATGGATGCGTACTGTTGAAGAGTCAAAGACTAGAACGAATCAGCTATCCAGTCCTCTTCCCTCCACCGATTTTCACTGTGGCTTTCTAACTGATGATCAAAACAACGTCCATCGTGACAGATATTATTTTTAGACTTTCAAAATTTCATTTCAGCAGACCAAGTTAAATGTAATTCACAAAGACGGATTTACACTGCTGATTTGACCGTATACTATTAGTGATTCATAAACGCAGTACATCTAGAATAATAATTAGATGAAAGCAGCCAGTCAACAAGAAGCCATGGATTTAGGTACCGTGCTTATTAGCAGTCGTGCCAATAAAGCGTATTTGGAATCACCAAGAAGCTGATGTCCCTTTGGAAGTACATTACTTTACAGGAAAGGTAATAAGTTATAAGCCCGAATAGTGGGATGGTAACGCCTCCGACTGTATCACTGGGTTGGGCTGGTAGGAAGGTATCTCCTAGATGGCATCAATTCCTATGATGCTGAAGATACGCCTTAAAGACTAGTGCTAGCAAGCCTAAATCTGCGTGCAGGGTTTCCCAAAAAGGGAATACCGGACTTTCCTGTTGTTTTTATACCGGGAGGTTGTATATCCTGTGTTCTGTGGCGAAAACGTCCAATGATATCGACTATTGCTACTATGTACACCTTTTATGAATACATATTCCAGTGGAGTTGAGAAGTCAATTGTTCTAGATATTCAACAACTACAGTCCAACAACAAAGTTTATTCTTAAAATAGAAAATGAATCTAAAATTCCTTTTCTTATTGTTGAACTTATAAGAACAACTGACGGAAGTCTAACAATGTCCATTCATAGGAACTCCACATGGAACAGCCAGCTGACAAGTTTCTACATCTCGGTATCAACGAAACCTAATTTTATCTCTTGCTACTCGTGTTCGATGCATCTACAGCCCTGATGCTCCAGGCCAAGATTTATTCACAAGAAAGAACATCAAGCCGAAAATTCAAAAATGAGACGTCATCCGTTACAAAAAAGAAATTTTACATGAATCTCGACCTCAAAGGTGACCTACTCAGTGATGTCCTTAAGAGAAGAAGAACGTAATTCGCAGCAATGCCAAGAGTAGTATTCTTCAGTCGCCCAATAGCCTGCAGAAGGCCAACGGAAAAGATGTCACATTTGACCATTTCTATGCGTATTTATCAGTTCACCTGTTGCAGTCGTCTTCTTTACACTGTTGAAGCCTTAGCCATTCAGTGCAGCCTGATTACAACTCATACATTAAATTATTCATCTTATTATGTAACTCTAATACACTTATTCAATTCATCTTATGCATTGACTAATAGTAACCACTATGCCTTGTGACAACTAATCACTTTTGTTATTACCCTCCTTCATGGAAAAATTGTATGTAGATTCAATGGTACAGCTAATAGAGAAAATGAATTCACCGCGAGAAGAGCCTCTTCGCCGAACTACTTGGTTTCCTCTTCAGTAGTAGGCATCCACAACTCCACCAGGAATAGAACACAGGACCTTTGGGTTGTGAGGAGGTCTCGTTGACCATTCACAGCTTCCAAGGGGAGTATGAAGACAAATACTCCCCTATTATGTATGACATTGCCTAGTGGTTGCGCTCTATGTCACGAATCGGTAGAAATTAGAATTGATGTGCTACTGGATGCCGTCCTATTGGCTGAGTGGTTAACGAACGATTTCACCTAGTCACCTGAACCTCGTCTTAGGTTCTCTCTCTTTCTCTGATGGAGACATGGGTGCGTACTACTTAAAAGTCCTAAACAAGCACAAAACGGCTGTTCAGCTACACCCTGCTGGTTTTCAATGGACTCTCCAACTGAAGTCATCCCGTGATCAAATATGAAATAATAATAATAATAATTTATGTCGTTGTAAATGCCGTTAAAGTAGTGCACACACTAGAGAATTAGAGCATGACATTTAAACATCGTTTCTACCCCCATCCTCCACTTACTTCTTTTGAAGATAGTGAAATTATCAACATGGATTATACCAGACAGAATATGACATTTCTTTACAAGGAACACGGAGATAGAAATCTAGATTTCAATGAATTTCCTGTGGGTTTCATTTTTTTTCATATTCGTATCGAATGACGTGAAAAGTAAAAATACATTTGAATGTCAATAGCTTTGATTTTAACTTCCTTTATTTTCTAACCTTTAGGCTAAAAGCTGATCTTAAAGGAAAATTAGTTAAGGATGGATTTCAGCCGCTGAAATGCTAAATACGAAAAGATAAAGAACAGATATTCCCTTATAAATTGAAACCTTATAGCAATGCACGTTTACAAACTTGCACGTCGTCCAAGTTGGATTCCAGAGAACGCAATTCTGAACCATGCCTAGTTCATAATAAGTCCAGAAAACAAGAGAGATTCAGCTTGGGGCTACCAACACTACCGCTACTGAAAATTCATGAAGCTCTATGCTCCATATGGGACGCAGAGTGATGGGAAGAAAAACCACATTCCAAACCCCACTGACAGAATTCAGTCAACACCAACACACCAGAGAGTTAAGCACAGGACATTGGTTATCTAATCAATAGTGACCAATCAATGAATCGATTACAATGTTCCATGAGATCAGTAGGGAGCCGTCTATGCACATGGTTCGGGTTTCGATCCCCGGACAACGCACACCTGATACCAATGGTCGGCCTGCTACATTCAAGCTACCGAGATCACATGCTGAAAATTCCTATACTTGTACCAAAATACTGTGTGGAATCAAACTATAAAAATAAAATAAAGAAAGAATAGCTCGGCATTTTGTTTTTCATTCAAGCCTCATTTTTTAAGTTTCAGTTGAAGCTTAGCAGCGTGCCATCCGGGAATCAAACCTGAACCAACGATGCACAAATAGCTCAGTGATGACGCCTCTCTGAATGCAGCACTGAGTGATGGTGGTGGGGAGGGGCATCGGTATCCCCGAGATTGTGAGCTATCAACAAGCGCGAGATCAAGGTCTAGCGGGTCGTCTCCTTACGATTACCTTCTACCATCTAGTAACCATACTACTTATAACTCTTTCATAACACACACGCACGCACAGATGCACACGCATAAAACGCATTTGTGTTAGTCATGTTATATTTAGTAGTAATCATAACCAAGATGTAGAAATTGTGTGAATAAACATCAATATGTGTGTGTATATTAAGAAAAGAAAGACCAAACAAAGGAAGAAACAGAAAGAAATTTTAGAAAAACAGAGACGTACAAAGGGGAACTCTAAACAAACATAAAACTTGAAGAAAAGACAAGGGAGATGAGCACATGAGGTCAGTGTATGTGTGTGTGTGTGAGCAAGAAAGAAAGTGAGACAGACAGGGAGAAGGAGAGATATACAAACATGTGATCACACTTTTCCCTTTGCATTTGTATATATTTTTCACAAAAGGAGACCAGAAAAGGATCATCAGAGAATGGAATTATTGGGGAAAATTAAATATCAACCTATGCATCATCCCCGGTCACACAAACACACACACACAGAGAGAGGGAATATGAAGACAAGGGACTTGAACACAATAAACAATTACATAATCACAGTGAGTGAGCAAGTGAGTGTGAGAAAGAGACAGAGTAGGGATGGAACAAGGCAGAATAGTTTAAACACAAAGAGACAAGCTATACGTACAACTGGAGGCGGAACGAGAAGAGGAAGGAGGAGGAAGAGGAGACGATGGAAGGAAGATGCAACAATTTCAAAAGCACACACCAACGATAACAACTAATCATTATTGATAGATTCAAATATTGGCATATTTTTGAAATCCTTTTAACTCATTTTCTTTATTTACTTCATTAGAAAGGCGGAATAAAGGCAGAATAAAAAGAAAATGCTTTTCATTCACTGACACTCACTCAGTCAGTCAGTCATCTGTGAGTGATAAATGGGAATAAGAGGAGATATGAAGAAAAAAAGGAGGAATAAGTGTATAAAAATGAATTATCGCTAACAACATATCGGTACCTACCACATAGCTACCGACCTAATCGGTACACACCACACACGCTTCAAAGACTGAATAAAGGTGATAGCGGTCGTGAGAGTTAGACAAACAGAGAGAGATGGGGGATGGGGGTGGATTATACTATTTAGAAGGCAGTGATTTCTTCTGATTTCTGAAGTGAAGGAATTTTTATTTAATACAAATGGAGATGTGTGATGGTGGAGAACGTTAACGAGGAGAAAGAGGGAGAGAGAGAGAGAGGCGAGAATGATGAAGCATAATGCCTTTTCTTCTGCTGGTGTTATTGTACACACACAAACACACACACACACAGACAAAATTTAAGATTGCCTAGGACGTTTACGTGCCCAACATCTTAAAGGGAGTTGTTGTGAGGCAAGACTACGAAAGCACTCATTCAACAGACGTGGACGATGTCGTACCAGTTGTTCATAGCCTTCAGTTTCACAGACATCATGAGCATGTCTAAAATTATAAAGGTAAATAGAAATGATTAACATATGATAAATACCATGCATCAATGAAATACAACAAACTGCAAGGATAATGCACAGTAAACGATGACATGTCAAATACTTCTAGATTTGTTTTAGCGATTTCTAGTAAAAAACTTTCCGTCTGACATTTTACATTAGGAAAAAGTTAGGGGACTCGGGCATAACTTAACCAACCCCTCCTCCTCTTACAGTTTGTCAACTCTTGTATCTTACCTATTCTTCTTTATCGTTCACCCTTACTTATTCTTTCCTGAGTTGCTTGAAAATAGACAATGTCATACTTCGTAAAACTACGAAGACTCTCAGTCAGTAGGGCGAGTGGCGGTATCCCCATTGGACCATATCGTTGACATCGTCATTGATAAGCACTTAATTTTATGCGATAAATTTGCTAAAGGAATTTTTTCAGACTGTGAGCGACAGATATACCCGCAGCTTTCACATCTTCCATCTCCTCAGGCAGAACAAGATGTCACTCCATCAAAAGACTTTAAGCGCGCACATCTAAGTATAAAAATCTCATGATACCATATTTGGCTCCCGTATTTTATATGATGAAAATAGTGTTAGGCACGAATTAACTAACTAACTAACCCTCTTTCCACTGGTAAATAAACAATTTTCTCCATCCTTATGCCATAGCGTGTTACTGTTATTATTCTTCTTACACTTATAGTCCTCTCATTTTTTCGTTTATTTTCTCATAATTGTAAACACCATTTAAGCTTTGTAATAATTACCGAAAATACCCATTGAGTCATGAAGAAAATAAAAGACAGATTCAGCGAAGAAAATTTTCTTTATCGACGAAATCATCTTCAGAGGCTGGCTGTACAGTCGTATTTATACTTACAAAAATATATAGTGGTCTATTATTGAGTAATAAGGGGGTGACATAACTGATATAATTACTCAGGAGTGGCTTCACTATTATCACTCTCATATGCTCCTTTTGTACATTTTCCTCTTACCCTCTTCACACTTGTTAAATTGACACTCAAATATCACCTTTATTCTCACTTAATAGCAATTTTAACCTTATCAAATTTCTATCTTTGTGCCGTTGAGTACCACGTAATTTTCAACTTTTAATTTTCACTTCTAAAGCCACTCCTGAGTAATTATATCAATTATGTCACCCCCTTATTACTCAATAATAGACCACTATATATTTTTGTAAGTATAAATACGATTGTAAAGTCAGCCTCTGAAGATGATTTCGTCGATAAAGAAAATTTTCTTCGCTGAATCTGTCTTTTATTTGTAATAATTGTTATTTTCTGTTTTTCCCTTCACTATGCTATATCAAGAGAACATTAGATTCAATACTCTCCGTAACATGCTAAGATTCCCATACTGTTGCTGCTGCTGGATTCAACATAGAACTTGGCACCGAAGTGCAGCAGTTCGAGTTGCCACGTTCCAAATAGCACACAAAGGTAGACAGGAAAATGAGAGAAGAGAATCAATAGAATTTAGATAAGTATAAGAGTGAAACATACTGTATCGACAGTAGTGTTTGAAACAAACCTACTGTAGTTATTATTCTCATTTTATACTTTGCACATTTTTGTAGCTTCACTATCCAACCAATTCACTTGCCCACTTTACTTAACACTCTACGCATAACCTTAATATCCCTCCCCACTATACTACACCACTCAAAACGGAAAACAAAGCACAGACATCTATGGTCAAAGAAAGATAGCCGTCTTCATAGACTCCACTTACAACGGTTACGTCTCACGACCAAAACAGATATGGAGAACTGCTGCACAGTATAAGTACATACGTCATTGGATAAATAGCTGGATATCATGTTTACGCCATAGATGGATGACATGAATTGGCAGATGCCATACAAAGAGGCTTTTGTATACGAGCTGAGATTTTGTCAGCAATCGTTTGATTAGGGCCGATTTGACTTCGCAGTTAAGTGAAGTAGTGGTCAACAAACACAACCGGTCCACATCTGAAAGGACTGAATCACACACGCCGCCCAACATACTGAGATTTCTGACCAAGGTGTACAAAAAGCCCTGAACTCTGTCAACATCTCCAAATAAAATGACTACATCATCTACATGGCTACAAGTTAATCCCAAAGTCGTTAAAGACGATTAGAATCACTTTCATTAGTACATATATGTACAGGCTAAAAACTGTTCTTGGCATCGCTTAAAATCCTAGTCAATAGAGCAAAGAGCCATTCACCTTTTTTTCTGATCTCTCAGATTCCTTACAGAGCAATGCCATATCTGACTGAGGATGCTTCCTGGAGTAAGGCTAAGAGAGCCAGGAAAAAACGAAGACAGAAATGTCGGAACGAAACTAGGAAGGAAGTGCTACTCAAATCATCATATTCTCATTTTCCTGTTGTTAACAATGACTCGCGTCTTTTATACAAAGGCTACTGATTTTATCCGGTTGCGCATAAACTTGGCAGATGGAGTGAGTGGGTGTTGAACCAATCAATCATCCAATATGGTGGTCAATCGACCCCCCCACCCCCACCCAGACCTGTGGTGAGTCACAACAAGATTATAAAAAAATTGGATGAAGAAATGTTGTAAGGGTTTTGATGAACTATAATAATACAAGCCTAATATCATATGACAGACATAAAACAAGTGACTTACAGCATTATAAACTCAAGTGTATGAGCTTTCAACTGTTCAGCATTGTGCATATCAGCAAGTCCAAATATATCACAAGCATTCTCGACTGAAAGACTTTCTACAAGTGCTTCTTCACACATTGTCTTCAGCCGTTCCAATTGATACTACAAAGAGAATAAAGAAAAAGGAATCATCAGTGACAGTGGTGACAGGTAGTAATGACAATAGTCGAATTATGAAAAGGCAATTATAAATGGAGAAAAACTGAAGAGAAACCTGTTGAAACTGGATAATGTGAGCCAGCTGACAAAAATAATAATAATAATACAATCCATCTTAGGAGAACTGCATACTATAGTGATTTAGTAATTTCGAACCAGTAAGCTTTTAGTTAACAGCTAGCTGGTCGTCAAGGTGATCGTATGTTTCCCCAAGCCTTGATTCCATCCTGCTTGCATGAATGTCAGTTTTCAATGGGCGCTGACTAGTGTCATGCACTTAGTCTTTTGTTTACTGCAGACCAAATTCTACCACTCAAGTTTGCAATGTGGTCACCATTCTAGATGATCCTCCATTACGCATGACACTATTTAGAATCAAGGTACTTAATACAGTCCAACAGGTCAATCACACCAGCCCGAATAGCTCAGTGGTAAGGTCTCTGATTGCATCACTGGGCGACATGGGTTCGAATCTCAGAAGGGACATGAGTTCCTTCCAGATTGCAGATACACCTTACTGACTGGTGAGTGATAACAAGCACGAAACCTAGGTCTAAAGCTTCCTTCCGATTGCCTCCAACTATCTGATGTCAAAGTTTCCTAGCTGGTTAGCTTTAAATGACCTGGTCAGTCGTCTTTGATCTTCCACCAACAAAATATTCTCATGTGGCCACGCGTCTATAACCTCTGCGAGGCAAGTTTCTTTCAAATGCCTTCACGCAAAAGCGGCGTCCTTAAAAAACAGAAAGAACGAATGTGAATGTTTGACATTCATCACTGAATTTGAGGGCATTCACTAATCTAAGGAATTGGTAAATCACGACCCTAAATCTATAGCCCCCACAGCCTCCAGGACCCAAAAGCAACAAATGGCGTAGGAACTTGTTTTGGCAACTGGCAACTACAAGAATACAGCTCCTGACACTGTTCTGCCACCACCTGCATATCTGTATAAAGTTCTATGTTGAAACCAGTCAGTCCTTCTTTCTCTATCTTATAACATACAATGCAAGGACTGCCGATTGTGTTACTTGCATCATTCTAACTCTCTCACTCGCCATTTCCTTCTATTTGATATATACCAATATGGTACGTGGCCATTTGAGCCATTAAAGAGCAATGCTAAATCATACGTTGATAACACGCCAGAAAGAAAAGAAGAATCTCACTCAACAACCACTTGGGATTCCATGCACAAATGACGATGAGATACACACACACACACATCAACTGTGTGAGAGCCAGTGTGATACTAACCTGGATGATGCCCGAACCTCGATAGATGGGGCGAATTATGAACCAGTGACCCACCTCCACCAATTGAAAGTCAGTCGAGAGCCTAGACCGACCGATGAGCCACAACTCCTTTACGAGAGTGCTGGCTGGAGGTGGAAGAATCGAATCTACACCATTCCCAAGGCTAGCGAGCATTCTAACACCGAACCACAGAACGTATGGTTGTCAATACGCAACCAACATGAGATACACTCACAAGTTCAATCATCAGCCAGGAAATTTGCACAAAATTGTATCAGTTCAAGTTATCAATGCTTCATAAAAGTATATACATAAAAAGCAGACAAAGGAGATGAAATGAGACTGAAACTACAACAGACGAAAACGCATAAGAGACAGAATCATTCGATGAAAACTTATGAGAGGATCTTTGATGATAAAGGTATGCTTGGATCTGCAATATAACAAACGCTTTTAAGTCACATGACAAACAATCTCCTACTATTGATTCTGTGAAAGGTATTCAGTTTCAGTTCAGTAAATCGTACAACTTAATGAAGATAACAGTTTTTCTGTAAAAAAAAAAGAGCTTACCTTGTCAGCAGCGGCTAATAATTCATGCGCCAACCGATCCATACCGACAACTTGTCCAGTATATATGTAACGTAGAACTTCAGCCACAGTATCTGGTTCCATATCTGTAATTTCAACTCGATTAGCTCTAGACTCTTCCATGCCATGTTCAAACATTGCAGCAAACACCGGGCTTCTAGCAGCTAGAATAGCTTTGTGTGCTTCAAATTGTCGTAGGACAACACTAGAATTTGAAACACCACTAACTGTTGAACTACTAGTACTACTACTACCACCACCACCACCACTAGTCGTAGATCCTGTGCTAGAACACTTTACAGTCTGATCTGTTACACTTAATGGGCATACAGTGGAACTTGATGGGGTCGCTGCTGCAGGATTGGAATGAGATGAAGTTGTTGAAGCTGCTTTTGAAACAGTGGCTAAAAGTGATGAGTCACGAGTGTTGCGATTACGCGGACGATTTGAAGTTGTGGTAGTCGATGTACTATTATTATTATTATTATTATTGTTACCCCTTCTTCGAGTACTCCGTCGGACACGGCTTGACGTGCCAGAAGTCTCAGCTTCTACGGACTCTTCAACGCCTTCATGTTTCTCTTTGGATGTGATCAAAGGGGTTGAGACATTATTCACAAGAGAACTACTTTGGCTTATTGTTGTACTGCTTGTAGTTGTACTGCTACTTCCCACATCTGCGTTGTGTGCAACAGTTTGTTTCACTTTACTACTACACGAAGCCGATGACGAATCAGTAGTTGTTGGTAAAGCAGAGGATGTTGAAGGTACTGAATTGGATGTGCGAGACCTATGAATACCTGAAAAGCAAGAAAGAGTAGCACTAGTAAGTAATGAAGTCATACAACAATGAATACAACTCCGCTGCAACCAGAGTTACATACTATCACAGAAAGATAGCTTGGAATTGTTTCAATTAACAAAATACCTTCAACATTTGAGTAATACCTATCAATATTGATCATGACGACACGCTAGCCACTAACTGCTAAGACTGATTGCAATGACAAGGTATAATATAACTCAGCAACTACCACCATGTATTATTTTCAGAAACAAAGCAACTTGGTGTGAAATACAATGTACGCTCAAATGTTATTCAGTTAGCAAGCGAAGTCGAACTCTTCAGCATATAACTAAATATACACAACAATAAATCAGTCTTAAGACCACGTCAACGTATACCATCTCTGGCGTGGACATGATATTCGGCTGTCGATCGAAGGGCTTGGGTACTGCTCAGCAGTTCGCTCCGTAATCCTCCTCTATACATGTGAGATAAACATAGCCATTAGAAGTGGAAGATATCAAAAGGCTGGCTAGCTCTCTATAATCATAGGTATCCACGTCCTATCTCCATGTTACAGGGTAGGTGAAATAGGGTGAGTAATATTGTATTCAGGTTAAGTGTCGGTCGAGTGACAGGTAAGGAGGGGAGATCTATCGACTAAGTTCCGAGGCTACATCGGTTGAGATGGTTAGGACAACAGGTGTTATGCATGAATCCATAGTCATCGCCTTCTTCGACAACAGGCAATATTAGCCACTGACATAGGATTGATCAGGTTGGAGAAGAGGTAGTGATGGGTGGTTAAACGAAAACATGGCTTTATCAGTCAATGAAGTCCATGACAGTTAGTTTAAGCCAGACAGCCACCCAGTCCACGTATGGAGGTGTAGACTGCCTGTGTAGACTGACTGGTTGGGGTCGTCGGGACGGTAAACACCAGTGGCTGGAGACAATTGTTGGTGATATGGCTCAAAATCCTCGTCCTCAATGGTTGGTGCAGATGCATTCATTCACTCGATGATTTGTCATATTCAATAAGAGTCTACTGTTTTTCCATATTACTATTCTTTTTCCCTCAGACATACTTGTGTTTATTGTCTCTCTTTTGATGAATCTGTCTTTACTCTCTTCTCTTGCTTTTTGTGCTACAAGGAGGGAGTGTGGCAACTGGAACTGGTGCATATCTGTACAAAGTAGTTGCATGTTGAAACCAGTCAGTCAGTTATTAAGACGACGTAACTACACTTTGAATAAATAGTGGCTGAATGGTATACGAGCATGCCTTGTAACCGGAAGGTCCTGAGTTCGAACCACGATGGGTGCGTACTACCAATGATTCCCAAACTAGAATGAAACAGCTGTCTAGTACTGCCTGGTTTTCAATGTTTCTCTACCTGATATCAATCCGTGGTCAAACTCATAAAAACAAATCTAATCCTTATAAACCAACTCTTGAAAAAAAACAGTCGTAACTGATGTTAGTAAGTCACTTCAAGCGTAAACCAAAAAATGCTACGGAAATGTATACCCCTTCGATTGTACCTGAACTCTGTTACACATGATGACACATACAATGACATTCGTCTAACCAAGAATACGACTATGACAATGGAATTACAACTGGATTTCACAACTCTTTAGGGCATTCTCCTATCTAGAATTTGGAAGTAATCTATGAGGTTTGGATTCCTGACTATCTATCAGATTAGCAACAGGCCAAACTCACACTAAAATATAATAAATTATTTGAAATAATAATCCCAGCGTGTTAAAGAACAAATTAAAACAAGATTTCTCTGAACGTGTTTCGCTGTGTAAGCCACAGCTTCTTCCGCAGAAATATTTATTAAACATCCCTGCTGAAGACACTGTGGTTTACACAGCGAAACATGTTCAGAAAAATCTTGTTTCGATTTGCTCTCAAACACGCTGGGATTATTTTAAATTATTCATAATGGTTTGTTTATTTAATCATGCTGCTTTTCATTACTCTTATCACAAATCGCTCCACTATTTCATTCTTTTAGCAATAGAATTATTATTACTATGATTATGACTAATCGGTCGGTCGGTCGGTTTTTGACATAGAACTTTGCACATATGTGCACCAGTTCAAGTCGCCACACTCCCTCCATGTAGCACACAAAGCAAGAGAAGAAAGTAGGAGAAATGCATAATATAGACAGTAAACAGAGGTGTGAGACAAAGGAATAGTAATAACGGAGAACAAAGCAGTTCCATTGGAAATCATGAGTCACAAGGAGTGGATGCATCTGCGCCACTGAGAACGATTTTGAGCCATGTCACCAATTGTTTCCAACCATTGGTTTTTACCGTCCCGAGGACCCCAACAAGACAGGAAGTCTACACCTTCCTACGTGGCTCAGACTAACTGTTGTAGATTTCATTGACTGGTGCCATGTTTTCGTTTGACTGCCACTAGCTCTTTTCGAGCCTGACTCTATATCAATCAGCTAACATTGCCTGTTGTCGAGGAAGGCGATGACTAGGCATACGTAGCACATGTCCTAACCATCTCAGTCGATGTAATTTCACAGTTTCGTCGATTGATTTCCCCGCCTTACCTAGCACTCGACGCCTAACCTCAATATTGCTCACCTTATTATACCACTTCGCGCGGGAGATAGAACGCAGACACCTATGATCGAAGACAGCTAATCTTTTCATGTCTTCTGCTCTTAATGGCCAGGTCTCACAGCCATAAAGGAGGACGGAGCGGACTGTTGAGCAGTACACACGCCCTTTGGTTGATAGTCGGATATCGCGTCTACGCCAGAGACGGTGTAAACTGGCATCAGTAGTTCATAGGTAAAAAGCCCGCCAAGCACCCACGTGGTCCCGGGTGCGATCCTCGGCCGACACACTCCTAAACGTCGCTAAGCTGGTAAGTAAGGCCGGTAAAAAGGGAAGGTTGGGCGTAAGAAGAAAACCACTGCTATTGAAACTTCAAAGCTCTAACTTGAAGCCCTATGTTCCACTGGGAACTTGAAGGAATAAAATAAGATAAAATGATTATGACTAATGGCATAATTCACAGGCACAATCATATCATTCTATTGACAAATCACTACCCAGTTAGCCAGGTCGAAAAAAGGGGAACAATACTCACTCCTGAGACCGACTGACTGAAACTCTAGAGCCCTATTATCCTCAAAGAACATTCACAAGATTGGACAAACTTATTTTACCACTAATGAATTTAAACTACCAGCAAAACCAGCCTCTGTTTCAGCAGATTGAAACTGAAATCAAATATCCTGGGAGTAGTAACTCCATACATCATTACCTATCTCAATCTAGACGCCAGGTTGTACAACTTTATCTTACAACACTTTACATTGGTTAAGATATCAAAAAAAAAGCATATAAGATCATATTTACTTACAACTGGCATTTGGTTTCACCTCCCGATCATCACGATTTATGTTCCCCTGAGTAGAAACATAATTGGAAGACGATGAAGTCAGTCGCCAGTCACTATTTGTAGCATTGTTAATTGTATGGTCTCCAGGATATTGTTTTACAGAAACTGGATCTCCGGCGTTGCCACCAGTACACGAAACTAATAGTGAGCTAGGAGTAGCTGAAGCAATAGGAATGATTACACCTTTTGTGGGAACATTAGCTGTAGTAGAAGCCAGTGTCAGTGTAGTAGTCGACGAAGAAGACATTACATGTCCAGGATGGTGAGTAGGATGAGACGATGTGCTAGAAGCATGATTATCTCCAGTGTTTGATATTCGATGATGAGTTCCTGTTGCTGTGGCAGCAGAAGCAGCAGCCTCTGCTTCACCCTGTTCAGTATTACTACCGCTACTACCACCACCATTCGACGTTAGATGATTACTGCCATCGACAAAATATACTAACTGTGATTCTCTATAACTCGATTGTGTCTCTTCTTCACGTTCACTGTCATTCCCCTGATGTTCACCACCACGACCACGACCAGCCCCAGTCTCATCATCATTATCCTCCCCATCATCTTGACCATCTTCATCCTCCTCCTCCTGCTCCTCGTCGCCATCATCATCATCGAACTCTTCACCTTCATCCAGCTCCTCTTCTTGATCCTCTTCGTCATTGTCTTCATCATCATCATCTTCTTCTTCACCGGTGGATTCATAAGCTGTGGAGAATTTGGTGCTCACCTGTTGTTCACTGACAGAATTCAAGCTAGGCAATGGAGTAGTAGCGTTATGACCGCCACAAACACCTAAGAGATAAGAATTTTGATGGATATATGATAATGAAGAAGAATCATTACTTGGTGATTTTCCATTCGATTGGTTATTATTATGATTATTAGACACAACAACTAATGTGACATCAGTCAGGAGTTGTTTAAATAACAGACTGCCAATATCTTCATGTAAATTACACTCTGGTACAGTAATTGGTTGATTGTTAACTTGACCACTTTCCGAGAGAGTTTCACCAACAACGGAAACCTGTTGTTATTTTTTTTAGAGAAAGTATAATACAGTTAGGATAGTCATATATATATATATATATATATATATATATATATTAAAAGTACTCGCATGAAAAAGAAAATATGGTAATAAAAAGAATTCCATTAGCATTACTTTATAATATGGAAAAGTACAGTGAGTAGTATTTATTCGATGATGAGCAATACTTCCTCAATTACTTCTATTTCCATATAGTGAGCAACAAGCTACACCTATTGTACGAGAGTTAGTGAGTGAGTGAACTCTGCCTAACTGTCATAACCTTGGTAGGTGTTGAAGGACTCGAACCCCGTGATCTAGTAGTAAGCGGTTCGAAGTCGAAAGCCGAGACCCGACTGACTGCTTTCAACATGCAACTACTTTGTACAGATATGCACCAGTTCCAGTTGCCACTCTCCACACGCACACACGCAAAGCAAGAGAAGAGAGTATACACAGATTCATCAAAAGAGAGACAATAAACACAAGTGTGACTGGGGGAAACAGAATAGTAATATGGAAGAATAACAGACTCTTATTGGATATGACAAATCACAGAGTGAATGAGTACATCTGCACCAACCATTGAGAACGAGGATTTTGAGCCATATCACCATCAATTGTCTCCAGTATTCATTGGTTCCTACCATCCCGACAATCCCAACCAGTCAGTCAGGAAGTCTACACCTTCCTACATGGCTGGCTGGCTTAAACTAACTGTTGTGCACTTCATTGACTGATGAAGCCATGTTTTCGTTTAACCACCCACCGCTAGCTATTTTTCAACCTGATCAATCCTATGTCAGTGGCTAATATTACCTGTTGTTGTGGAAGGCAATGGCTATGGATTCATGCATAACACCTGTTGTCCTAACCATCTCAATCGATGTAACTTCACAACCTCGTCGATAGATCTGCCCTCCTTACCTGTCACTTGACCGATGACTAACCTTAATACATTACTCACCCCATTACACATACCGCGTAACATGGGGATAGAGCGTGGATCCCTATGATCATACACAGCTAGCCAGCCTTTTGATATCTCCCACTTTTAATGGCTATGTTTATCTCACATGTATGCAGGAGGAGGACGGTGCAAACTGCTGAGTACACGCATCCTTTGGTCGACAGCGCCTAGACCAATAATCCACACCACGAAACATCATCCAGTAAGTAATAAATTTGCCACCCAGCGACCAACAGCTCTTTCTAACCCCTAATATGATTCCTACTAATACTACTACCACTGAAAACATGTGATCGACGCCGTCGATTAAAAAACATGCTCTATGGTATTATAGTAGGCAATGAAATTATACCTGATTGATGCACAAATGCTTTTAAAGCACGTTCACAGACTTTCGCTAGTAAATGTTTAACAGAATGACACTGGCTAAGTTTAAGTAGATTAAAACACTAAGAATCAAAATACAAATTTTTTCACGGCTAAATGAGAAAGACCCTTAAAAAGGTGAAGAAATTGAACAGCAGATGTGCCTCAAGTGAATATTTCAAGAGAGAAATTGTCATAAACTTTTAAAATCACCACGTGTTTGAGCACTTAAATTATTCAACAATGTGACATACCCTTATTTTTGTCATTTTATTAAGATAGGTGGTACAAAACCACTCTCTCCAATAACACAATTAGTTTAAGCAATAAGGACCGATGTTTCACAAGTAAGTACTCAACAGAAGTGAAATAAATGAGAAAGAGAAAGATTTTCTCCGTTGATTGTAACTGCTTTTTCTAATTGTTGATCGGGTATCTAAATGACCTTTCTGTTCTCTCTATGCTCGTTCACCTGGATTCCAGTTCTCGCTGCCAAACTGTTGATTTTCCCCAGTAGATCTTCGAATTTGTGCAACATTAGACATAAGTCGTCCACGAAGATTAGAACTTCTAGTGCATGTCTTCTAGCTTTCTCACAACCTGTTGCATCATCTAGTTCACCACAATCAGGAATACCATCGATGATAGAGAGGGTAGCCCAGTCTTACTTCTGTCTTCATTTAAAAAACCTCACTGAGCTCTCTCTCTCTTGGTATGCAACATCACTATATAGCTGTTTAATGAGATTTATACACGTTTGTGGTACAGTACTCCGTAGTGTCGAAGCAGTTCCCAAATTACTTCGCAATCGATCGATTCTACCTCAGAAACTAACTCAATGAATGACTGAAAGTTACACCAGGAAGCCAATGAGTCTTGGAACTAGGGTTTCATGCTTGTAGATACACATACGCACACACACATAGCCAATAGGTACCACCTGCAACTCCAACAAAACTTAAAGATTCGAAAATACATTACTCGGAGTGCAAGTTATTGACTTTATCTCACTGAGCCATTAATAACAGTACAATCGACCACCTATGCATAGAATCGATCGATGCAGATAAATCAATTACAAGATGAAAAATAATGTAGCTATATGACCACCCAATCGATGAGACTAGCCAGATCTTGGCTAGCGCACTTGAGGGAACTGTGATTCACATTGATCTAAGTGTTTGACTGTCAATCAACCACTCAGTGGATTATGTCACAGGGTCTAGAAAGGCTCACTCCACCACCTATCGAAGTTTAGGAGACCAAAGTACATGTGACTCATCACTAAGGGCATGGGAATACAACCGTTTGTTGAGATTAGATAGCTACATCGCACATTGCGACTCACTGTCACTCTCATAGACATTTTACAATACTCCCTAGGTGGTACAATTTTAATTTACCAGTTAATCCATAGGTGTGAATCATATTTTTATTTTAACAAAAGCACTCACTATAACAGCCACACAAAAGATTGTGCATACCTCACATAAAATTGTTAATCGATCGTTAGGTAGTAAACCATTGGCTTCATCCATTAAGACATCTCGACGAATAAACTTTTTAAAACCCCAATCTTTGCCTTGAACAAATCTATAGGCACGTTGACTTTCTATATATATATATAGTGGAAGCATATAAAATAGAGAAAAAAACATTTGGAAAATTTCTCAAAAATCGGAAATATTTATTTTCTGATACAAATTTAAAACAAGCAATAAATGTCGTTATTACAGGAGGATTTAATGAACTCATGAAAATTTAGGTAAAACACCTTAGCTGAACACTCTACACATGTCCTATCAGAAGTGCATTGAGAGATTTACTGTAATAGCAGAAAGCAATACACAGAAGCAAAGGTATATTTTCCATTGTTCAAACCGCTGTTTATATATATATATATATATATAGAAATTGAAGTATGCGCTGAAGATGTCACCTAGTAGGGTGATGAAAGCTTCGTAAATTAACTATCCAGCTCAGAGAACACAACCACATCAAAATAGTTTATATTCTTTAACCAATCACTGCGCATGTGATTTTGATTTACATTAAATGACATGAAGTAGAATGCTCAAACACATATAGGTGTGCAACATAGATGGCACTGAAATAGAAACCAAGTCAGAAATTAAATACCTAGACGTCATTCTATCTGCTGATCTTTCCTGGTCATCTCATATCTTGGCGATTTCTAAGAAAATATCCCGTCTTACCTTCTACATCAAGAAGTTAAAATATTCTGGTATAACCCAACCCTTACTCCTACAATTCATTGACTCTCGCATCCTCCCTATTATTCTCTATTGTTCCCCCTTAGTTTTCCCCGGGCTACTGAAGAAAGACTATACCTTATTACACAGGATGTTAAAAGTTGTAAGCGGGGTAAGCAACGTGCCACTTAACCAGCTTGTTAATATCCTGGTCGACATGCATATGGACTCATGTGAAAAATGGGCCAAATCCATTTCATCTAACTCACACCACCCTCTTCATTCGCAACTCTCCCCTTGCATCTCATCAGGTAAAACCAGAAGCCTATATAGAAAACTATATGCTCGCACCAGCAAGTACAAAAACTCAACCATACCCTACTTAGCTCGTGTTCTGTGCGATAAAGAAAGCATTAGGTGTGACACCTATAATTCATTAAATAGTCAGTAGAACAACTGGATGTCATCTTTCCAACTCATATCATTTATAGGTACAACGTTTTCTTTCTTTCTTTTCCTTTTCTCTCCCTCTCTTTTTTCCGTTATGTGCTGCTTTGTTTCTTTATTCCGCTTACGCCAGTAAATATGATAGCACCTACTTTTCTAACACCTTCAAACACTATTCAACTTTGGCTTTGCTACCGACATGCCAATATGTTGTTGTCATAATGAACAGAGATTTCCTTAATCTATGTAGAATTCTATTTATTGATAATGTACTAATTGGATGCAATACTGTAGTAAAAATGCTGAGAATTCCATTCTGTATCACAAGTACTGTTTTGGAATAAATCAAATTATTATTATTATTATTATTATTATTATTATTATTACTACTACTACTATAGTATTCTGTTGCTAATGCATTATTGAACTGTGGGAATATTTGAGAATCATATTCAGTTGGAACACATTGTCTGTATCACACCACCACAATATGACTGATAAGTAAATAAACTATATTAAATCAGTCATACAAAACGACAAGTGTGAATGCTTTTCACATCATATTGAGATAGAGATAAGGGAGATGAGTAGAACAGATTAAAATTAAGACGACGATAATAATGGAGTACGGTTCAGTTCCATCATTTAAATAAAAACAATTAATTATTAAAGAAAGAACTTGAAAATGTCTGAGTTTATAAACTCTCTAAATGCAAACATTAATCTGTTTGTTTGTCTGCTGAGAACAATGGATTACCAGACACCGTTAATATCATATCTGTAGTCTCTATAAGATGCTTCGTCATTGAACTGTTTGGCACCTTGACTTAAACCTTTTTGTGTCATCCACTTGGATAAATGCTCCATCATGTGAGTAGACAAACGACTTTTCATGCAGCTTATGCGTTTGCTTCCACAAACTGAAAATGATGCACGCAGTTTGAAGTGTCAGGGATCGGTTACCGGTCTTTTCCAGATTGCTGAAGCTTAACGCCGTCTGGTGGTGTTAAGGAATACAAGCTTAGCAGCATTATACGTCCTCCTAATAATTTAACCAAGTCTACATTTAACCAGTTCTTGTAGGTCAACTTCTTTAAACGGCAAGCTGATATGTACAGCTTTCTTCGTATTTCTAATAGTATATATTTCACCGTATGCAAGATATCCAGCTAAGGAGTTTCACCGAAATTTGATGAATTCAGTAAAACCTGCTCTGTGCTTCAGTGGTAGAATACTTGCCAATCCCATACATGAGATTCTGGGTTCGATTCCCGGTTGACACATTCTTAAACTTCGCATAGCAGATAGCAAGCCTGGTTAGAGACCCCACCACCACTGCCACTGAAACTTTAAAGCTTAAACTTGAATACGCGTGTTCTACTCGGAACGCGAAAGAATAGGGGGTGGTGGGGGGAATTAAATCCTGCTTTATCAATCACATTTGTTGCTTGTTTTTAGTTAAGAATTTCTACTAAAATACATAGACGCACACATAACCTACCCATTGCTTTTGTCTCTTCACGTTTAGCATTTAATATTGAAAATTTAAACTTGGCTCTAGCTTCACTTTTTGTACCACAATTGACCAGTAAAAGGTAGAGTGATAAGTATTCTCTACTTTCTTCATCTAAGCCTTTTGGATTGATTCTTAAACACCTTGATAAACAAAAAAGATACATGATAATGAGTAATAATTTCCTCTTTTCTAATAAATAAACTAACCATTTCAATTTATCATTTGGACCACAAGAGAAAAATGAACTTTTTACTACTTCTCCCATTTCTTCACGACAAAAACTAAAGTTGCTTATTGTCCAAACATATTTCATCTTGGTGACACGTACCTTTATAGAAAAAGAAAGTATTTACATAAGGAATAAGACTTTTCTTTACTTGTGTATGACACCAATATTCAGCAACAATCGGTGGAGGACTGATAAGATCCAAAGGAGGTGGGGAACTGGTACGACTAACAGTAGCCACTTGACCATCAGTACTATCCAGTGTAGCTCTTAAAGCATCCATGGAACTAACTGTGTAACCAATATACAAAGAGGAGAAAAGTGGAAAAAATGAAATTATGTAATGCAGTTTATCAACGATAAATGAAAACATCTATCTACATAATCTAAACATAGGACCATTAGTTTTCAAAAAACAGTTCACACGACTATGAGATGACCTTTGGATACAGGATGAACACCGGGAATACACCGAAATAAGACTACTTCGTAATCATATTCTGTGGAATAAACAATGGGTTTAACGGGACGGGGATACTTAAAAAATGTCTATGTTAGCTAATTGGGGCTTATATGACCACAGGAACACAGGACTAAAGAGTGTAAGCAGTGCTAGCTGACACAGAATCAGGTTGGATGGTAGGTAAGCGATGATCCAGCCAAAACATGCCATCAGTCTATGAATTTTTTTTCGACAATTCTTTTGAGCCACGTAGGGAAATGTACACTGGTTCGGTTCCTCAGGATCTTAAAAAACTGGCTCAAAATTGTTCTCATTGGTTCAGAGAATGCTGCAGTTGCACAATCGCAATTCGTCATACATTTCCGTTTTTCGAATTAGGATAGCTAAAAAAGTGGAGACGTAACCCAATTGCGTTCAAACAATGAACTCCTTGATTACTCAGAGGTTAATACTGCTGGAGCATCCCAAACAAGGACGAAGCACCTGCCCAGTGCTACTGATTTTCAATGGTTCTATAAACTGAAGTCAGTCCGCGGTCAAATTCTTTGCATAGTCAACACTTAAGAGTATTCCACATGTTACACTTATATTTTGGTTTCTGCACCCTTTGTGATTAATCTTCACGTCTCGATACACTTCTAAATTCCTTATGACACATTTTCATATCCACTTAGTTTCACCTTTATGAATATGTATAATTAGATGATACTTGAATCATGCAGCAGACTGTAGGGAGCGAGAAAACAGGAATATGTTGGACTGATAAGAAGACCCTAGAAGATCTGGATTTCGCGGTTGATTTGTCTCTGATATCGCAAGCTCGAAAACCTACAAGCGAAAACCGACAAACTGACAGAAGAAGCAAAGATAGGACTCCAAGTGGACTTAAGAAAAACGGAGTTGTTGGAGTCAACCAGTCAGCACCAATCACTATCAACAGAATAAATTTAAAATAATCACTTCCTTCATTTATCTAGACACCATCGTTTCAACTAAAAGTGACAGCACGGATGAGGATGCCAAAACCAGAATTAGGAAGGCAAGCAGACCTTCAGTCTGAAGTGAGCTTGAAAATCTACTGCACTCAGTACAAAGGACCTACAGGAAATAATAATAATAATAATACAGTATAAAGGACACGAATATTAAGTCAGTTCTCCTGAATGGGTCATAAACTTGCACTGCGCTTCACGAAAAGCATTTCAAATAGGCTTCAGACTTCTACCAACAGCTGCCTTCGCTGGCTCCATAGTTAAGATCCGATCACCAGAAAGAACTAGTAACAAGGAACTCTGGGAACGAACCAATCAAGAGCCTATTGCTCAACAAACATGTTGAAGAAAACGAAAATAGATCAAACACGTGCTGACGAGACCGCTGAGTGACTGCGAGCGTCACTCATACCCTCAAGTAGAACCATAATGGGAAATTTGGGCTTCGGTTCGAGAGTGACATAAAGATCGTGCGAAAAAGAGATGAGACTTACTGATTGACTGGTTTCAACATAGAACTTTACACAGATACACAGCAGTTTGAATTGCGATCGAGGAGCCAGCTAAAAAAGCACTGCATAGAACACGACAAAATGCTGATGTGATTTTGGGGTTCTATGTTCCACTCAGAACGCAGTGAAGTAATAATATAATAAATAATATTTGCAGCTATAACCCTTTGCAGGACGTAAATGTATAATAAATTGAGATTTTACAGTAGCCATTGACAATGAAGCCGTCGAAAAAGTTTTGCTGAAGTCCTCGTTATCTCCCTATATCCCTAATGGCTATTTTTCATAATTAAAAAATAAAGTATAGATTCAAGAGTGAAAATTCAGGGTGTAGATTGTAAAGATAGTTTTCTCTTAACGTTGACAGCAATAGTGGATCGTTTAAACCCCACAGTTAATAATTTCACAAAAAACAAAACATCAGTGGGTACGATGGAGAGATGTAGCGGGACCTTCTCAACTATGTGTACATTAGAATTTTATCATTTCATATTTAAAACATTACACATGAACATTTGACAAATACCGCATGAATGAAATAACTTTGTCTTTAAGTTCAGTGTCCCTTCTCAATAGAGTGTAGTTAAATATCTAGCACAATAGATTACTCCTTAGCTAACAAGAAAATTTTGCAACACAAAAATGATACCTTAGCTTGGTGATATCTTATGTGTTACTACTACTGAAACTGAACCCATTAAGATGATAAAATAATACCATACTTTTATTGTATTCATAACTGCATGAAAAATTCAGTAACGTTTGGTAAAAAATATATACATTTAATTTGACTGTAATTAAGACGATAAATTGTGACGTAAACTGGATAGTTTTCAGAGGTGATTAGTAACATCCTGCATAACTAAACAATGTAGAACATTGAACAAAAGTGAGTTGATCAAAGTTAGCACGTTACAAAATGCCACACATTAAAGAAAATAAAAGAGATATGATGGAACTATAATAAGGGATGATCTGTGAGAGGGAGATAATATAATTAAATAAGTTCTTAAAAATTTTGGAACTTGTAAGATGACATGGCAGTCACCTCTCTATCTCAACTTCATCGACTTTGAAAAGGCCTTCGACAGACAGCGTCGATCGAGAGGTGATTTGGAAACTACTTCGCTACTACGGGGTGCCACCGACAATTATACATCTCATCGAACAGCTGTACGACAATGCTGCATGCCAAGTAATCCACAACGGGAAGCTCACGGAATCCTTCGAAGTGAGGACAGAAGTAAGACAAGTTGGCTGCCTACTATCGCCAATGATTTTCCTGATTGCAGTAGATTGGATAATGCGACAGACAGCGGGCAATGAGGCAACAGGCATAAAATGGACTCACACAAAAAACTTGGAGGATCTGGACTTCGCCGATGATATATGTCTGATATCCCACAAACTGGAAGATATGCAAGCGAAAAGCAACAAGTTGGCAGAAGAAGCATCAAAGATAGGACTTCAGGTGAACATAGAGAAAACGGAGGTGATGAAGATTCCCGGGCAACACCACCAACAGCAACAACAACAGACAACAATCAGCATAAATGGAAGCAACCTGAAAGAAACAACCTCTTTTACCTACCTGGGAAGCATAGTTTCAACTACAGGCCAACGGAACTGACGAGGATATCAAAGCAAGAATCGGAAAAGCAAGACAAGCTTCAACTACTCTCAAGTCTGTGTGGAGGTCAACACCACTCCTCAGCATCAAAAATAAGATCCGGATTTTCAACTCCAATGTGAAGTCAGTGCTACTCACTATTCGGATCAGAGACTTCGCGCGTCATAAAAAGCATCTCAAACAAACTACAGAGCCTCATTAACAGTTGTCTTCGCTCAATACTCAAGATCAGGTGGCCAGAAAAGATCAGCAACAAGGATCTCTGGCAATGAGCGAACCAACCAGGAACCGATTGTGAAACAAACAGGTAGGAAGAAATGGAGATGGATTGGCCATACTCTGAGGAAACCATCAAGTGACATCACTAGACAAGCCATCGCTCGAGTGGAACCCGAAAGGGAAGCGGCGAGTTGGTCGTCAGTGCGAGGGTGACTTGGAGGAGGTCATGTGGAGAGGAGATGGAAACGTGTGGGCAGACATGGAGCCAGGTGAAGACTATAGCAGAGAACCGAACGCAATGGAAACGCACGGCTGAAGCCCTATGTTCCTCTAGGAATTAAAGGATACAATAATAATAATAAGATGATATGGAATAAATACATCTACCTCATCGCAAATGACCCTAAGTCACGTTACCAAGACTCTAACCACTGATTCTTAGTTAAAGAATTTACACCTATGGTCAGTGAAATCGAGAATCGGTGTCACGCTTCAAGCTATCGTTAATTGGCTTAAGTACTCGACTGTTAATCAGTGGGTCATGCGGTGGGATCCCATCCCACCTACTTTCACTTAGTCAACTGAGTAGTATCATTAGCCATCACACAGTATGGTTGATATTCTAGTAAATGAGTTTAACCTGAGGGCTCCTTTCCAGCCTGAACGTACTTTAGTTAACATCTCTTTGAGGACAGACAGGTATCAATAACATATGACTAATCACTGTGGGTTACCTGGAAATCGAGAAGGATTTCGATTGAGTTCAGCTCTATAATTAATTTCCATTCCTTGTCTCTTTATATTACCTACTACTTAATATACGACGACTTAGACCGTTGCATATCAAGAGCGCATCTACTGTTGGTGTATTTAGACGAATCTGTCACTGGTTGTAAGCCAGTGAAGCATAGATTGAAATCAGCTAAATCTGCATTAAACAGATAAACATTTGGTGAACAAATATGAGATACGCTGGCATACTTCGGTGACTTGAAGAGTTTATTTGAAGCAATCGTTATTTGAAGTCTTTCATATTAAAGTGTTCGGAGGAATAGTAATAAAGAGGAAGCTTCTGACGTAGTTCATTCACTTCTGGAAACAAAGCTGTACGACTTGTTAAACAATTTACATGACGACCTATTAGTTTAGGGACATAAATTAATCAGTGGACGGTCGTTGTATACCCTACCTCACTTACTGTGCTTTAGACAGTCAAGAAGTAGTATTTTAACACTCACAATTCATTTCACTCTTTAGTGCATGAAAATGTAAATGAAATCTGAGCTGTATTTATATTTGAGTCCAGATTTAAAGATTAGGCTCTAGAAAATGTTCTTATAAACCGTTTACTTACCACCACCTTTCTGTCGATGGTTATAAGATTCTCTAAGGATGCGAATTTCTATAAATGCAATCTAGACATTAATTGATGGACTGTAAAAAGACGTTCTTTTGTTTTGCAGTAGAGTGGAACTACTCAACATCTTCAAACGAAACGTTAACTCCCTTGATGTTAGCAGCTCGACTACTCATACACCTCGAAAGTGAATAAAAACGAACTTGCACAGGATTTTAAAGGTAAATATGATTTAATTCACAGCCATCTGGTTACTAGTGAAGTAACAGCTGGAGCTACAAGTCAGAAGTGTCCAATCCTAAGCTTACTACAGTACTATTTTTTTTATTGTTTTTATTTTTCTATTTTATTTCGATTTACAGCTTGATTCCACACCGTATTTTCAGTACAAGTGTGGAATTTTCAGCATGGATATCGGTAGCCCAAATTCAGGCCGACCATAGATATCGGGTGTGCGCCGGTAGGGGATCGAACCCCGGACCATGTGCATGGTCGGCGAGAGTCCTAACCACTGTGCCACCGACGCACACTGATTTAAATAACGCTAATTCTTAACTCTAACATTCTATAATGAATAAATTCTGAAATTTTCCTGAAATGGTTTGATTATGCACACAGACCAGAACGCAGTCCTGGTTTACAGCATGACTGGCATTAATTCAGCACCCTATGGTTTTTCCAGGCACTTTCAGAAGTAGCTCAGAACCTACTGTGTTTGCTAATCAGCGTTGTTTCAGCCCTCTCAGCCTAGATTCAGTAATGACTGGCATTACTTCAGAACAAAAAGACTTAGGCGCATAGTGACATTTTTTTCAGCTTTATTTCAGCGCTAAATGCATTACTGCAAATCTAAATCCTACTTTTAAGGTTTCGTCGCATTATGCGCCCGGAGCTGTTTTTCAGAACAGCAAGCGTTATTTCAGTACATGATGGGTTCATTTTAAGTAGATAAAATATTTATTTACCACAAAACAGGCATTATCGACACATATAGGTTAGAATTAGTTTAGAATTAATGTTAGCTTGGGATCTTAACATCTAAGATACACTAACAGAAGTGGTTCTCACACACAGTGTAAGCGAACAGTTATCACTTACGTAATGCATACTACATACTAGTTACAAATAGAAATGTAACAGACATCACTTCTACATATCACACCCCAAGCTTACAATAATGCTGAATTAAATCTCAGTAATTCTGAAATAATTCTTGCATCCTATAGTGAGTAAATTCTGAATCTGTTCTGAAATGGTTTGTTTAATGGCACAGACTAGAACTCAGTGCTGGTTTTCAGCATGACTAGAACTAATTCAGCACCGTGTTCTTTTTCTAGGCATTTTCAGGAGTAGATCAGAACATACTGGGTTTCCTTATCAGCGTTGTTCCAGCCATTACAGGACATATTAAGCACTGACTAGCATTACTTCAGAACGAAAAGACCTAATTCAGCACCCAGCTCTCTTTTTAAGCACGACCAGCGTTATTTAAGAACATAGTGGGTAGAAAAAATTTTCATTTACCATAAAAAGGCATTATCAACGCATAGGTTAGAATAAGTTTAGAACTGTTGTAAGCTTGGGACTCTGATTGGGACACATGTTTTCGTCATTAATGAGCTCTAACTTTGTCCGAAGCGTGATTATTCAGGCTTCATAAGAATCGATATCAATTATTTTAATTATGCATAGCCATACTTAAATTAAGAAACATACATTCCACTCAGCAACATAAGTCGTGGCGCTTAACGGACATCTACTTCACTTTGGAATTCTCAAACAAATTCAATGATCAATGTCACATTAGACTGCCTAGTGAATTCATCTTCATTAGAGCCCACTTTTATGCCCAAATATGTTTCAAACTTAATCCGCAGGCTTTAAAAGCCTAGAGACTGATTAGCTTTTCGAGAACATGTCACATTCAACACTCCACTATTATCAAGGATAATACTCTATTGGGTTCTGAGTGGAATATAGGCCTTCAGCAACACATCCCCACTTTCTTCTATTCTCTGCTGTACTCTTCAGCTGGATCCACGATTGACCATAATCTCTCATGTCCTTCTCCTTCCCACACGATCTCCCCAATGTCACCCTCGTACCGACGACTCACTCGTCACTTCCGTTGGGATTCCACTCGAGCGATGGCCTTTATTGCACGCGATGCCATTCGGCGGCCTTCTCAGTGTATGCTCAATCCAATCTCGCCTCCTCCTACATATTTGTTGAGCAATCGACTCTTGGTTGGTTTGTTCCCACTCAGAGTTTCTTGTTGTTCTGACAGGCCATTTGATCTTCAGTATGGAGCCGGCAAAGGCAGCTGTTGGTAAAAGTCTGCGACCTGTTGGCAGTCCTCTTCGTGGCACGTCCGACAAGTTTGTGACCCGTATAGAAGAGCTGACTGATTTCACATTTGTGTTGAAAATCCCCATCTTGTTCTTTATACTGCTGAATGCAGAAGATTTCCAAACTGGTTTCAGAGTGATGAAGGAGTATCATGCTTTCCCTATTCTGGTTCGCTTTGACATCCTCATACATTCGGCCGGCTGTGGCTGAAACTGTGCTTCCTGGATAGGTGAAGGAAGTGACCTCCGCTAAAACACTCCCTTTGACGGTGATTGGTGCTGGTTGTTTCTGCTGGTGGTGGTGGTTGGTAATCTTCACCACCTCCATCTTCTTTATGTTCACTTGAAGTCCTATCTTCGCTGACAGCGTCTTCAGCCAAATTTTCAGTTTTTGGCTGCAGATCCTTGAGTTTGTTTGACATTAGACATAGATCATTCGCGAAACGCAGATCCTCTGGAGTATTCTTGTTGGTCCAGTGTATTTTTATCTTCTCACTCCTCATACTCAGTGTTCAATATAATCCGGTCCACCACAGGTAGGAATATCATCGATGATAATAGACAGTGATGTCTTACTCCGGTGCTCACTTCAAACGCCTCACTGAGTTTTCCGTCGTGGATCACCCGACACGTGGCATCTTCATATAACTGTCGAATGAGTTTGACATAGACTTGGGGCACTGGACTCCTCAGTGTTGAAGTACTCCGTCGAAGGCCTTGTAGCGGTAAATAATTCCCCAGAATTATTGACCACAGCAATCATCACTCAACATTGGATGCTGACCATCACTGTTTAAGTCGACTTGTTTAGCTGAAGGCTTCCGGTCAAGCCTCTATGCCATTTGGTACTCCGTCGTGTCACTTGCGTGCACGATCACTAGCCACCTAAGCATTCACTTCTACCCGCGATTTGGTCCCGAAATATATATCGTCCTTTGGACGACAAAATCTGGTCTTTTGCTTTGTCTTTGGTACTCGAAGAGCGAACACTATAGAAGTTGTTGGTATAAGATCTTGCGTTAGTGTACTCCGTACAATTCGTGAACTTCGGTACCGTCAACCTCTAAAGCCTTTTCAAAGTCGATGAAATTGAGGTAGAGGCCTGAGTGCCATTCCATGCTTTGTTCGATGATGAAGCATATCATTTTTACCTCTACTAATGGCACTCGACTTTCAGATGACAATGGCTACAAACTAAGACACACTAAGGGTACAGTAGCTATCGAACAATGTAAAACAGCCACCAGGCAAAAGTTTTACTTGATTAGGTATGCACAGATATGGAATAAACTGCCAATGGAAATGCGTCAAGCAAGTACATTGGCCTCCTTCAAAAAGGTGCTTAATGACAAACTACAAGAGTTTGCAAACGATATTAGTTCTAGTTCCTATCTGAGAGCCTCCGAAATTATAGGTCCATTTAATGTATAAGCTTAAATACTACACCTGTTGTTTTTTGCCTATATTTATAATTCTAGATAAAACATTAACGGTTAACATACGTATCCTCAAACAGACAAGAAATCTCGTTTGTAAAACTACTACCCAACACAATAAGTGGAATAAAATGGACATAAACCGACAACATGAAAAAGGTATAACTCACCACAACATCACAAGGACAGATGAACGCTCGTTGGGTACCATATATCCCTCACCAACTGCAACCCACCTTTCCTTAGATAATGTGATGAACTTATACCCATAATGTTGCTGAGCAGTTAATATTCTCAACTCCTGTCGGAACAGCTGAAACTCATAAACCTTCCTAACGCTAAGAAAATACCCGTAATCAGTAGAAATCCATTAATTAATGCGTCCGAAGCTTATGTACTTACTCCCAACAATGACATTGCAGATCAAAAGAGATAAACACATCACTGATTTCAAAATAACACATCAATGAACTATAATTCGAGGACTCTGCACACAACAAAGTTATGTATGAATATTTACTTCAAGCTTTATTTTTTTCCCAGGCACTTATAATCCATCCACCAAAGACCTGGTTTTTTTGTTAATGCGAAGACAATACTCCTGTATTTCCTGTTGTGTTGCACTCACTGACAATCTAGCAGATTTTTCCAACTTTGCACAGAAATGATTGTATATCAGTGAAAAGGCTGTTTTATACTACTGGAATTAACATTTATCAAGTGTATGTATAATCTCTATCGAACATGTAAAGCATATCTTGCTACTGGCTGTAAATTGTGATTAAATTATATGGTTCTATTTCTGTAACAATTTGATGATGCCTGTAAACTGGCGTCCCTCATGTACTGTACTATGAGAATAAATTTATTTATTTATTTATTTATTATTTGCCTATCCTGAATCCTGCTTGTTCCGGGCTGGTGCAGTTCTGCATCCAATGCATCCCTAATTAACCCAGAATGATGCAACTAAGTATTTCACATGGCATGGACAATAATCATATAAACATTCTCATTTTGTAAAAATGAGGTACTCCAGTTAACAGGCATCATCCATATGACAAATAATATGTACATAGTTTATGCATTTTTACAATTACTCACTTACACAGGCTGTATATACATGCATATATACATGTATGAAAACGTAATGAAGCAATGTCAGTAAGCTCACTTTACATTGCTAAAAGCAATTTACATAATACAATCCTGAGAATTATTGTTGTTTGAATTTTGTGAAAATGCGTGTACCAACTGAAGGCTGTGTAACATGCGGTAAGCATGGTAGGCTATTTAGTATAGTATGAAAATGGCTAGTGAAACGTTCATTAGTTTACCGACAACAGTGTTTTTAGCACTGCAGTCTGCAAGCGGCTCAACACAACCATTGGTGTCCAGTTAAACATGTAAGGAGTACTAGTAAATTAACAGTAGTCAGCGGCAGACGAATTTTTTCAATTCATACGCGGTTAGGAGTCAGAACGACTGGGAACTAATCCATATAAAATGGCGAATTTTATTTTTTTATTTTGATTACAACTTGATGTCACACCGTATTTTCGGTACAAGTATGGAATTTTCAGCATGGATATCGGTAGCCCGAATTTTGCAGGCCTACCATAGATATCGGGTGTGCGTCAGCAGGACATCGAACCTCGGAACATGTGCATGGTCGGCGAGAGTTCTAACCAGGAGCCGAATATTGCTATCAAATGATTTTGTGAGATTAAAAATGCAACTATTAGCATACTTTAATTATTTCTTAGATATCCAAGCATATTGGCGCCACATATGTAGTGATTTGGATTTGTCAGCATGATCAACATACGGATGAATATCCAGACGAGACAAAAGCATGATTCCATGACATTTCTTGCGGAGACCCGGAGAGCCCTTTTTCAGCAGCTTGACAAGCTAGACTTTCTTCCGATCGGTGGGTACCTTTCCTTCCTTCCAAACCTTTTGCAATAGTAGTGTGAGCTATTCTGACGGCGTCTCCCGTTCCGTATCCAGTGCTTCGGGAGGAATTCCGTCTGGCTCTGCTGCCTTCTCGGACGGTGTTCATTTAAGATTTCTGCTTTCGTCGGAGGATTGGTGTCCACTGACAGGCAGTTCGGAGTGTGTTGATGGTGACATTTCTGGATAGCTTGCAGGTGGTGGTCGATTCAAGAGTCCTTTGAAGTGATTAGCCCATTGTTTGATTTGTTTCTCCTCCTTGGTGATCAGGTTCCCCTGAGTATCTTTTGTTGGTTTCATCATCTGGGTTGATCTCTTCCCGGATAGAGACTCGGCTTTTTGATATAGTGTCCTGATGTCTCTTTTGCCTGCGGCCTGTTGTGCTTCAGTTACTAGTGTGTCGCAGAATTGTCGTTTGTCTTTTCTGACACTCTTCTTCACTTCTTTATTCAGTGAGATGTACATTGAATCCAGCTCCTCCTTCTGTTGTCCATCTTTGCGTTGAGTCATTTTGTCTATTCATCATCCCCATATCCTCTCTTCTATTATCTTCCAGGTGTCCTTTGAGACATTCCCAATCTTTCCCTCTCTTTCCTCCTAAAACGGTTGTACACGTTTCTCTGAACATTACTTTCAGGGCATTCCAATGTTCTTCCACTCAGGTTTCCTCAGTGATACTATGTAATGTCTCCGGCTCTGCTGTGACGGCTACAATGAAGGTACATTTCGTAGTCTCGTCATTAAGTTTCTGAATGTGGAACTTGAATTACAGTGGTCTGTCTCTATTTGTTTTCATGGACTTCATCTTCACCCTTAAGGTGCCTTGAACTAGATGATGGTCTGAGTCCGCATCTGCTCCCCTTCCCGACCTTGTATCCAGCAGACCAGCTGCTTCTCCACGTCCTTGAGCAGCACTGATATGAAATCTATTTGGTTTGTGGTATGTCCGTCAGGCGAAATCCATGTTGCTTTGTATATTTTTGTATTTGCACACGCTCCCTCCGATCACCAAATCGTTGAAGGAGCAGAA